TTGGGGAAGCCTTCCATCAGGGACTTTGAAATGCAGATGTGCAGACAGGCTTGATACCGGCCTGGAGTAGCCTGAATACCAGGCAGGCATTATACAGGGCGGGCTACCGGGGGACCCTTTTCAATCTAGGTCTAAATGGTCGCCGGCCCTAAAAATGATGGGAAGACTGCCCGGAAAAAGCTATTTGCTCGTTCCTGTCTAGGTGCTGAGTGACATAGTCTAGAATGGCAGTAGGTTTAGGCCTGTATTGGTCATTAAGGATCACCAGGTAAGGTGTGGACTCGCTTCCTCGCAGCCTGGGTGGGCCTTCTGATGTCAGCAAGAGCAGCCCCAGAAGGCTGTGACAGAAACTCAGAATAGGATCCGTGTACCGATGGTGTATTCACCGGGGTAGCAATCTGGGAAGTTTGCCCAAAAATTGCTACTGTGTGGATTACGTCTGGATGCGCACGCCGTAGATATGTCGGAGGCTAGGGGCCATATGCGTATAATGGCCACCTGGATAAGTGGGGCCGTGGCTCATGTTCGTCGATATCAGGAGAAAACCTGATATCGACGACCATAATACATGTAAAGTCAAAGACAAGGAGAGCATTGATAATAAAAGGTCATATTTATAACAAGGACAAGTATTATTATTTTTTGGTTCCATGTTTTCATTTTTCTTTGTTTTCCATTACTGATAACACAAGATAACAATTATAATGAGGTAATTTGTAGAATTCCAAGGACCTTGTTATAATAGTGTTCTGTTGTAGTTGTCTCAGAGACATTCTTCCAGAAGGCCCTAGATAAAGGGCAGGCGACGAGGAATTGCACAGCACACGTTGCCCAGCATTATATACACAGGGGCCACTCCAGATAATGAAGGAGGAGCGGTCCAGTAAGGCAAAAAGTCTACTTCACGCCTGGGAGCCCCGTACCAAGAGTATCTGAAGGCAGAGGCTCAAGACGTGGGGCAGTTGGTTGACTGGCACAGGCGAGGTCAGTGTCTTGCTCCAGAAGGGAGGCTGAGGAGGACCAAGAACCTGGAACATTCACGGGGGTGAGGACGTCGATGCAATCAGTGTCATTTTCAACCGAAGATACGGTCACCTACTTGGACTGAAGCAAGTCTGTGCTAAAGTCAGAACCGAGTGTGCCCTGTAGATTGACGGACGGTCAAGTGGAGGACCGTCAGGCTGGAGCAGACTCCAACACATGCCAAGTTTTGGCTAAAGACTAGAATATCTCCATGCTTGAACAATCAAGTGGGAGTTCTTGAAAAATCAGCCTGGAAGATTCCAGTTGTGCTGAATGTCATTTAAACAAGCTGTGACTGATGTCCTCCTCTGGTGAAGTGGCTGATGGCAGGCCGAACACTTGAATCATGTTCCGCTGAAGAAGATGGAGGTGGCCCTCAGACGGAGTGAGGGCACTGGTGGAATCAACTTCGTCCTCCTTGGAAGATAATGCTGGCTGCCCAGGTGAGGTCCACAGGTGAGCAAGTGGCCGTACACTCGGAGACCAGTGTCGGTGTTGCGCAGTGGTAGAGCTCTTTGTAGCCACCAGGGGATCACTAGCTGAAGTGCAGCACAGATTCCTAGGGCCATGGTGGTTAGAAGGCATGGTGAACTTGACGGCTGGACCAACCCAGGAATCGTCCAAAGGGGTACTTACTGTCAGCTCCTTGAAGCCGAATGAACCAGGGGGTCTTTCCAGATTCTGTGGGATCCCCTGGCCAACGGCGAGGCCTTTTTCCTCATTCGGTAGTCACCAGAGAAACAGGGGAGTATAATGGACACCGACAGCGACCCCCTGAATTCAGCCGGCTAAGGCTGGATATTTATTGGTAGTATAGTCATGGGCATAGTTGAGATGAGCATCGTATTACTGACAGTAAACACCTACAGGGTGCACACACAAGAAAAACTAAGAAAAGAACACAAAATATCAACAGAACCATGTAGCCAAAAGGGAAACTTGATACATTGAAGATTCCTCAAAAGACACATCCATTACGTTACACTCTGAGAAAAGAAGGACAATCATGGCTTTGAGACCGCATGGCATTGTGGGAGGTCACGGTGCACCATGGGTGATCAAATCTTTTCAGCGAATAACAATACGCGCATGGAAAATCTGCATATGTAGTGACTGTTTGGGTAGGTAGATCGCCATAGACTAACAGAGCTGCAGATTGTAATACAGATATAGAGAGCAATTGTTATTTTGAATTTTGCCAAAAATGATTTGAAAGGAGGGTTTCTTGCAGCATCTTTATACAATCAATACTTGTTAATACAAGGGTCTCGGGACTTACTTACATGTAATTGTCTTGTATTATCCGGAGACTAATCTTAATCTTATTTTCCCAGTCCTGTCGTTGGTTGATTGTACTACTGTTGTTTGGTAATGAATTTGCTTTCAATCAGTTTGAACATGCTCTTTATGAAAGTATCATGGACATGTAGATTTAAAGAAGAGTTGTTGTATTAAAACATTATACTGTAATTGACAAGATCAAAGCAGAAAATTTATAAGATACAACCATGGGCCATGCGGACTTATTGACAAGGCGATGTAACCTGCACAGCGTGGTCGCTGTTATGAGAGAATGCGCACATAAGTACACTAACAGTTTAGTTGGTAACTAACCAAAGAGCAGCAATTTCATTATGGTCCATCGATATACCTATAATATCTGATATATCGATTTTTCTTTGATATCGATATGAACGATATCACATTAACATTGAAATCGATATATAGAAAGCACAGATAAAATGAAAAAAATGAAGCTATTAATTGTAATAAAGTTGTCGTTATAGACAATGTCTTGTCTTGAAATAAAAGCGGTCCATTTTTTTGTGGCCAAGAATAGCAGTCAGCAAATTTACCTTTGATTTTTTTAAACTAAACCATGGTTTGAGCAAGTAAAATCACATTGCCAGTGCATGAAGCCGGCTGATCAAATCACGGACTGGCCTCGGTATGAATCCCTTTGCATTTGAATACACCGTTCTGACCGCAGGTTGTTGGTGTTGCCAGGTGCTCTTTTGTTTGGGGAAAATTTAAAAAGCTCCCAAATTTCAGCAGACTTATCGCACGCTGCACAGTTTGGACCAATTGGTAGGGGTATAAGCCGCCTAGCCGCAAAAGGTATTCGGCATTATTCAATTGGTTTTGAGATTGAAAACATATATTCTTCTAAAAAATTTGACATGTATCAGTATTATCGATATCTCGTCCCCGATATATCAATATCGGCAATTATCTATAATCGACTGAGTTTAAAGTTTATACATGTACAAAGTGAAGGAAACCAGTAAATTTAGAGAATAGAGGGCAAAGGTCAGGTCCTGGGTAATTATTTCTAGCGGGAAATGGAGTGTTTTTTTATTTGGGGGATTTAGAACTTGTAAATTTGACTTCCAAAAGGACATTTATGGGTAAGAGAAGAACAGATTTTAATGAAAAATTAATTTTATGTTAATTTAGAAGTTGGTTAGGGGTAATTTTCTACACTCTTTTTCATGTTTTCAAGGGGAGTTTGTAATGAGTTTGTTCTGATCGGGCCATCTGGTTGCCTGGGAATCACAAACGCCTATTCTCCATCATGTTCATTCCGAACAAAGAAAACCCTTTGATCGCTGGGGAATCTAAAATGCCCTAAAAATGCAGTCGTCAATTAGAGAGCATTATCACCGTGCCGAGTTCAACAGCGCCTGTACTAAATGGGTTCATTGATTGATGAGTTGTTTTCAACATGTTCATCCAGACAGAGAGATAACAATACATCTGCACTCGACCACACTGGAAAAAGCAATCATTTTAACGGAAATCTTGCGTTACCCAAGCTCATATTTAAGATTTTTTCCTCGTAGAATGTACACACTTTGGTCAGGACTGGCGAAATATGCTCATCTTCACCAGAATCTCGTCTTTGAGCTTGTATTACTGAGAGTCGACTGTACAATCAATTTCTTTTGACCAAGTTTTGAAACGAACTGATTTCTGGCTCAATAACTGCATATTTTCTACTAATACTAATTTGAGTGACATAAAATAGAGAGAAAGAGGGCTTGATGTTTTGATCCCAGCAAGATCTTTCTTGGAGAAGCTTAATACATGTACATGTTTAATATTCATAATCACCTTCAGGTAAATGTAAGGCCAAATAAAGCCAATTGTTTACTTAATCTCTATGACTATAAAAATGAACAAGGAAATTGACTGGAGCGGGATTTGAACCTCCAACCTCTGGAATACCATACCACTACTCTACCAACTAAGCTACCCAGCCCTATGTTGGTGGCTCTTCCCAATTGTCAATATCTCTGTTCGGGAGGGTGCGAGCCAGAAACCATTAAACTTGCAACACTATGTGGCCAGGGATCACACCCCAATTACAGATGATACAACCTGGGAAGTGGTGAACAGGAATCACTCAAAGAGGATACGGCTTTTTGAACATAAGTCATGAAACAAATTATATTGGGAAACTGACTAGGTGCCGATAAATGATTATAAAGATGAACAAAGAAATTGACTGGAGCGGGATTTGGACCTGTGACCTCTGGAATACCGTACCAGTGCTCTACCAACTGAGCTACCCAGCCCTATGCTGGTGGCTCTTCCTAATTGTCAATATCTCTGTTCGGGGGGCGCTAGCCAGAAGCCATTAAACCTGAAACACCATGTGGCCAGGGATCACACCCTAATTACGCACGATATTCTCTATGACCATGCAAAACCCCATCTGGGGCTCAGTGCAAAGAGGTACATGTACGTATTTATTATAAGACCATATCCTCTTTCCAAAGTATTATTTCTCAACTTAAAAATAAATGCAGGCAGGTTTTCTCATATTTAAGCAAACAACAGTTTTAATTTATGCATATTCCGTATAGGTTATTCCCCTACCAGTACAACAAGGCATCTTTCAGAGATGAATGTAAATTGGAATAAATACTGGCAAAAAAGGACAAAATAAATACATGTACACTGTATCTATTTACCTGTGACCTTTCACACTTGGTACAAGTTGAACTGATGTAAAATCTTCTGTGGCATCATAAAATTCATTTTCTTCATCATCATCATCTGCATCTATTCCTGTGAAAAAACAATAATGCAACAGTTGTTGAAATGCTGTGTCCAAGTTTGGGTTTCTTCAGCTTATACATTACTGTAACTAAGTTAATTGTTTTAATTTCACTACGGAGAACCACAGGCATGTTGTTTCACAAAGGATAATTCCTAGACGTCAATGTCACCATGACTGCAGTGTTTTACTATGGCGAAAAAAACTAAGTGAACACCCACCACATCTCCTGATTTGGCACAACTTGACATCGAAATTCTTCCATACAGTTGTACATGACAAAAGAATTGGCAGGAAAGAATTCTGAAGATCGTAATAGTAATAAGGACTATATTAACCGTCAAGGGGTGACACTCTATACCATATGCCACACAGATCCAGGCATTACAACTCTACTGGCAGAGGTGTGTGGACCTTGAAGGGATCTTGAAAAGTAACGTATCACAAAAGTTAAAGAGAAATTCAAACGGCACCTTGCTTTCCGCGAAATGAACCTGACTGCAACAGATGAAAAAATCATCTTATGAAATAATATGAAAAAATGGCACAGCTTTCCTACGTATGGTAGAAAATTGTAAAAAACATGGAATGCCACAAAGGCTTCCAGCGCTAATTTCAGAAACACTCATTACGTATTAATGATATGCAAGTGACCCTGAAACGTCATGTTAAGAGACTGGAGTCAATACATTATGTACATGAGTATGCCACATAGGAGACATGCTCATAATGCTATGTCCACTTTATGACTATACCATCCTTCATGTTTGAACAAGTGGTTTTCGGCATTTTGGTCATGAAATGAAACATACCCAGGTCTTGCGTACTTTTTGATGGTTTCCGACAGAACTGCCTGCAAAACGGAAGACTTCACCGATCCAAAGTTCTGACATATCCATGCAATGAATACACGTATGTACATTCACATTGACTTGTGCCTGGCTAAAGTTCATCAACGCATAGATTTCAAAACTCTCTCTGGTTGCTGATAAGTGACATACCATAGGATTTTTGGACTTGTTCATATGAATGCACTGTCTTCAGAAACAAGCTAACCTAGGACAGTGACGTGGAAAAAACATGTGAACTGCCTGAACGATTACCCACAAATCTGTGGGGTTCGACATCTGCTGCGCTCACACGTTGAAACCTGCCAATCGCATACAGGTGCGTGCAAAGCCATGTGCTTTTCAGCTGGCACACGGACCAATATCAGGTAAGGTGGCTTGACATTGATAGATTTTTCATCGTTGCTACCACGGTCATCGCGTCTATAATCCCTTTCAAGTCGAGATCTTGACATATGTCACAGACAAAATGGGGATTTTACACATAGAAGATTCACACATGTGCAGTGCATGGATTTTTCCTAGTTATCTGAATCGGCCGAAAAGAAAAGCTACCTTTTTGTAATGTCCAGAAGAGCGCTGTTTTGAAAGGAAACATGTAAGCTCCTTGTTGTGCAAATTTCATTTTCCTGATATTTTTAGAAAAGGAACTTCAGACAAATTTCTGACTCCCACTTTTACATGCAGTTTGACAAAATTATGGAGCCCAAAAACCAACAGAAACTGACAGGGCGGAACGTCACTCACTACATGTACATGTGACTGTGATTTCAAGTAGCCCTACATGTTTTTTCATACTCAAAAGCCATATAAACTATTGCATCAAAAGTCTGTCAAATTGAAATGAAGTTTAGAGTCTCCTTTTTTCCCTTTTGTAATATGTAAAATTTGCCGGAAACTGGAACGTAAAGCCTACATCTTTTCTAGTTTTGGATTGTGCACAGGCAAGCACAAACATGCTACATAGTGAACTTTTGATAATGCCTGCTGAGAAGTGATAATGCACTCTACGTAAATCACATGCTGACACCTACATGTAGATACAAGAAAGTTCAATCAATTCTGATTGGCATTAGTTACGTCCATTCTCCTGAGCTGGTCATAAACATGTTTTTAAGACCTGCCAAGCACATATTTATTCCCTTAAAAACTTACTGCATTATTGATAAAATTGTCCCTCAGCTAGTTTCATTCTAACATATAAGTAATCTTTCAGAAAACTAGCAAGGGTTAGGATTAGGTCACCAACCTTTGGCACTCTTTTGGTCTTGACGTCCCTTCTCCCGACAGGCTTGTTCCAATGAGTTGTGCTGTTTGGCCAGTGTTTCAATTGTATCCTCTAATCGCAGTCTTTGATCTCTCTCATACTGTAGTGCCTTTTGCCACTTGCGTCCTTGGGCCTGGGCTAGCTCCAAATACTCCCCACAGGCCTACATGAGTATAGGTATATTACTGAGAATGAGAGCTATGAACAGAAAATTGTAGTAATCAATTAAAAGCTTCATTCCAAAGGTGGCTAATGCAATTATATCATACCAAAGACAGTCATAATCAATTAAAGTACCTATAAGCACGGTGCATTAATTTTGTATATGACATGCTCACTCTAGTGTGTTCACTTTACATGGCACAGCATGCTACACTAATATAACACCCTACAGCACATGTAAATGTAATGTATCATTTTCAATCAGAAATAAAATGCAAGAACAACATTTACTTAAAGACAATTTTGCTTTTTACCACACAGCATCTGAAACACACTGGGTTGCTTATTTGTACAGTGCAGGCACAATATGCTAAATAGCATTTCTAAAATTTTTTGTGATTGCTAACAATGGAACCAAACCTTCCAGAATTCAATTTTAAACATTCCTGTGAAAGTGATTGCTAGCATGTAGTGAATTTCAAAAAAGGTTGTAATCAACAGGCTCCAATTAAGGTGCAGTGATTACAAAACTGACAAGTATTGTATTTTGGTCAGAATGTATAGTTCTAAAGTTTCCTGTGTTTTCCAGACAACCCAATGCACCATCCCAATTAAGCCAAATTAAACCAAAACCAAACCAACCAAACCTGACATCAACACACATCTGAAATGAAACCAAACCTGAAACCAAACCTAACCAATCCTACTGATAAAACCAAACCTCAGTCTAACAAAATTAAATTAAAACCCTGATCATTTTCATCACAGTCCTCATGATAATCTCTCCAGGGACAAGATTCAGCACTCAACTCCCTGCGCTCCCACACTGACGTCATCATCACGCTGGCAGATAAAGGTTCAGCTGTGGTAATATGGACCACCAACAATACACTGACGAAGCCCATCGCCAACATAAGTTTCTATCCCCCACTGACTGTAGAACAGCTAGGTTTTACCTATTCCCCAAGATCCACAAGGAAGGAAATCCGGGGAGGCCAGATAATCTGGAAATGGATTGCCCACTGAACACATTTCTTTGTTCACTGACACTTTTCTCAACCCCTTGTTTCACAGATCCTGTCATACATGTACACGTATATTCACAAGCCAGACTGCCTACGAATTGAAAAGTGTTGATGATCCCAAAGTTTCTTTGGAATACATTTAAGATGTAGGTCTTGCATTTTTTAACACTCAAATATGACATGAAACTCATCTCCTAACACACTATCGTTTCAGTGAGTACAGTAACAGAAGTCTCCACCATTCTCCCTACTTTGATGGGCAACCTATGGTTTACAGTACGGAATTTACAAAGTGAAGAGCGAAGACTGGGAGACAAACAAAGTAAGTGTTTTTCAAAGCAGAACACCGTCTTAAAACTCTATACAAATAGCATTTACTAGATGAGTATGTATCTTGTCTCCATTTATCAAGAGACTGGTCACAAAGTAACTGATTAACATACTGTACAAGGCTAACCATTCTGGACTGACAAGAACACTATTATCCTCAAAACAAAAAAATCCAGAATTATAAATTAACTGATGAATTTTTTTTAATCCATGGAGACTTAAAACCAGTTTTGGTACAGTACAGAGCTATAAGTACTTTATATATCTTCAAAAGTGAGTGCTTTGGAGAAATATTGACCTGATATGATGATGACGTCATCAGCAGAAAAGTCATGTGACATTAATGGTGCATTCTTTAAGGCCCTGTATATGTATCTCCTGAAGTACACGCTCTATTTGGTTGAAACTTGGCAGATAACTTGAGAGGTATTATATAGGAATAATGATTTGATGTGATGATGCCTTAGCTGTTACAAATGTACAAAAGAATGCGAAAAAGCCCTCTGTTCTGTTGTCAAACAGACAGATAAGCTCTCGTTTTTAATCCAATTAATTGCAAACTTATGACACTCATTGACAGTCATCAATAGACAATAAAAAACATTTTGGGAACAGTTACATGTATGTGTTTGTTCACAAAAACATTTTCTCTACTTTTATTCATGTTGGGGTCACAATTAATGGGGTAAACATTAAATTTACGATGTTTGAAATGGTTACGTATTTACTGTTATTTTGAAATATTTCACGTGAACTAAATGTTTTCAATTTCTGTAACCCTTTAAAAAAATTACATAGCCCATCACTTTTCCTTTGAAAGCAGAAGGCAAGCTAGGAATGAATGAGGCATTTTCTCCTTTGGAATATGCATGCATACATGTAGTTCAGTGTTGATGGAGTGAATTATAAAATAAATTATTAAATATACACATACCACATGTACATTGAAATGGTATGCACTGAATTTCACTTGTAGCACTATTTCAGACCATCTTGAGATATTGGTTACACCTCATTGTAAAGCCTGTGTAGTAACAGTTTTTGTTCTTTACAAGTTTTTTATTTTTGTTATTTACCGACATGTAGCCATGCATACACGTATGCCATGTATCATTTTATACATGTACATGTACCTGCATCAGTTTGCGAGAATTCAATAAAGTTGTTTAAAACTTACACGTACATGTACAACATTTGACACAGAGCATACTTTAATAGTCAAAGTGGGATGCATAAAGAAACTGCTTATGTACCAAACTGGAAAACCCTCCAATTAGTAACTTTGGAACAAATCACCGACTATCTTCATCCAGATGAAGGCATCCAGATGAACTAACTAATGACAAAAACATTACCAAATAATAGAAACTAGTACGTGTATATGCATGTAGGCCTACATGTACAAAAAACACAAAACTTGTAAATTCTCTCCACTGCATGTACATGTACAGTAGATCCAAAATCTGCTGTACATTTTCAATGAAGGCCTTAAAACCACTTTTGAAACTCCAGGAGCACTTTAAAACTACATCCTTTTAACACGTTACATGTGCATGTAGGTACAGATTCATGTACATGTTGACAAATGCTACACCTCTCATACTGCAAAGCTAAGCATTAAAATCATACAATGTGCACATCTGCACACGTAGATGTGCAATACATTCACACCCAGATGGTTTGTACATGTGGGTAAGCATTCACCGTGTTCAGGAGACAAGTTCTTTTGTTAGAGAAATTTGAACCGAGTTGTGGGGACATTTCTGAGTCCCTACAACATTTTTGGTCCCCACAAAATAGGTAAAATATCAAGTGCATGTCCCTACAACGACGGTGCAGGAGCTTGTTTACATGTGTAACTACATGTTCTGCCATTGATCAAGGACAATGAAATCAATACGTACTTTTCCACATGTACCAGTACATGTACATGTTCATGTTCCTATTAAGGGCTCCGTTCATCTCTTAAAAATCAATCGACTCTCAGCTTGCCTCTGGGTGTACATGTGCATGAATCCCTTTCTATACAAAACTGAAACTGCAGAGTACTTATCATACACATGTACGTGTGTGTAAATTGTAATTACATGTATGTGTACACATGTACACCACCTTTGAGGATGCTTGAGAGAAAGGCAGTCTTTGCCAAGATGTTAATGAACATCAGTGATTGTGTAGAATTTGGGGTGGGGAAAAGGGAGTAAAATTCTTTGGTCCTCAGCTGAGAAATGTTTCAAAGAGGCAGAGAGGCCCTTGAAGGGATGGGGGAAGACAAATAATAACACTCATTGGGGGTGTTCTTTTTGGCAGACATAATGGCTATGTTCAGACATTTTAGCTAAAACAGTAAAAGTTAAAAAAGTTGCTCACCATTGTGAGCTCAACGTAAAATTAAAACATACCAAGCATTCAGACGCTGCAAGTGCAAGTTCAACTCGACATGGTGTATCTCCTTTCTTCTTCACGAAGATCTTCTGCTCATTTACATAGAGTGAATGCTAGATTGTGATGTACAGAATTTTTATACTTAAAGTACATCCCAGGCTTTTTGTTATTCTGGCTTTTGAACTCATGAAGTGCTTGTACCACTTGAAAATACTTAAACTTTTTTGTAATAAAATAAAATGTGAGTCATTCATTCAATGTTTTGTCACTGGATATATTCCATCAGATTGTTTTAAGATCAAGTTGCGAAACCTTAAAGTGCAACCAAAGAAATTCATTTTGCATGGCAGTAAATCTGTTTGCAGAAGGGTATGCTTTCTGCCAGAACTACGTTTAAGATATACATGTGTGGTTTTAAAGGTAAATTGCAGAGAAAGACAATAAAAAAAAAATGCTGCTCATCAATTTGTACTAAACTTCATAAGGGATCTGGATATTGATTAAAAAAAACCACTGAATCATGGGCTCTATTTTCAGTGTTGTACTATCAGACGACATGTTTTTCCTCCTGTATCAGTGCAGGAAGAGTCCTTGAGGTTATACTTACCCAGACAGTCACTACATATACATATTTCCCTAGTGCTCTATAGCATTCACCCAAGGCATGATCGCCGCCATGTTCGCCCTTTTTCTGAGACACAAGGGCACCAAGCTGAAAGTGGGGAGGACGGGAGAGCTGTGACTATCTGGGTAAGTATGACTTCAAGGACTCCTCCCACACTGCTACGGGGGGAAGTCCACTGCGGTCAACTTACCCAGACAGTCACTACATACATTTATGCGGATTAGCACTGGACTTCGAAGGTGGGTCACGTGAGTTACATGATGGTAAATATGAGAGGGACTGACAGAAGGATGGATGGAATGCATCCAGTCATTTAACTTAGCGGTGGCCCAGTAATCCCGATGTGGAGGACGCCAAAATGGTCTTGCCATGGATAGGTAGCATGAGTTGAAGCTGGAGGATGAATTCCAGCATACTGCCTTGGAAATGTCCTCCAAGGGAACGCCTCAGAAGTAGGCCCACGAGGTAGAAACTGCTCTAAAATTGTGCGTCCGCATGTGGTGGCATCGTCAGATGGGGATGACTATTCAGTGTTACTAAGTTTGATGGTAGAAACAGCCCATCTGGCTATAATGTCTCTCGATGCCGGCTGTTGAGGCTTAACTGAAGTAATGAAGAGATGAGAAGAAGCACCAC